GCGCCCGGGGAACAATATCAAGATTTTGATGCTCGGCTTGGTCAGGAGTACCGGAGCTGAAGGATTAATGAACAATATAAAGCCTATTGGCGCAGATATTATTATAATTAGGAACTAATCAAACTGAAAATGTACATGTTATAGTACATGGATTACGCAGGTGTAAACCTGGAGGGTCCAGGGTCCAACGACTGCTAATACCAGATCAGTTTTCCATTGAAATAATTGTCTCTGGTTCATTTACAAAAAATCAGGAAATAGGGTTGTAAAAATGAACCCTGCATTATTTTGAACACAAAAAGCCTTTACAGTCCAGTCATCACCTGAGAAGGAGTGTTTTAAATGTACATGTTTGAAGTAAATGTAGACCTGTAATAATAAACAAGAAGTATGTTTTTCATAGCCGTACAGAGCACATCCGGCACAGCCACATTCACACGCTGGCTCATGGCTCACTGCTGTTGGCCTCTGGACCATGAGGTTCTGCACTTTCTAAACATCAACCTGGCTTCTCAGTAATGTTGCCGTAAATGTCTCTCTTGTATTTATTGTATTGCAGTCCTCTATCTCTTGATACAGTTTCAAGACTCCACCTATAGTCTTTTTCACATGACATTTCTAAAATCCTCTTGTGCCCAAAAGGTTAAAATCAATAGATTTGCACTTCGCACTTTCATTGATCGGATTCAACAGTGCACAACAAAGAGCTCTCTTGTCGGGGCTTACAGTTGCCATAAGTATTCATGGTTGCCACAAGATGGAATCACCTCACCCACTGTCTCGACGTCAGTGGTGTCTGACTTTAATTTGGACTTGTCCAAAGCACACATGCACAATGTACAACTTACATCAATACTCCTTAGAGTGTTTCTTGGTTGAGTTGTACAGAGGGTGTTTTTCATGTCCTTGACCTGTGTGACATTTTATTCAAAATAAATACATCCCTTTTAGTTATTTCATCAACCACAAAAGTCCCACTGAGATTGCAGAACCTGGCCCCAGAAAGAGCGGGCAGGAAGTGTGTTACTGAGAACTATTGTTCACGTTTTCAGGGGTAAAGGAAACCAGAGCAGACACAGGGAGAACACACAAACTCCACACAGAAAGTCCTGGAGCTGGAATCGAACCCTGGATCTTCTTGCTGTGAAGCATAAGCGCAGCCCTCAACACCAAAATATATTATTATAAAAAAGGAATGCAAAAATCTCAGCAAGGCTCGAACATGTATATCCAATCACACCTCCTGCTCTCGAGATGCAGGCACTGGAGCTCCTTCAGTAAATGGCCCTGGACCAATACTGATCCATCGACTCAAAGACATGGAAACAGGTCATAGTGTAGTTCGTTGTGAAATTGCTGTGGGCAGTGATTACAGAAGAAAGGAAAAGCTGCATTTATTTGTTGCTTTCATGATTGTTCCCCCACACTGCTGCAGAACACAAGCTGAATCAAAAGAATAAATAATTATATATATTGTTCGCTCTAAGAAATATATCGAGGTCGAATGATTATTGTGTAAGTAGCATCTGGTAAAAGGAGAATAAACATACTATAAAACTAACTCACAGTGTCTTTAGGGGGCTCTTTTTTCTTTAGAAAAATGTCATTGTCTTTTAACAAGAAAGCAAGTAGAAGGTTCTATAATTCTTTATTTATTCATTGAAATGATTGCATGTACCTATAAATAATAACCAATTTAAGCTGTTTAGGAGTGAAGTGGTTAATTAAAATGATTCAATGATTCTCGGTCTCATAATGACCAAAACGGCGGCAACATGCAGCACACGTCAGCTATGATTTGTGTTAGTCAGGTTTATAGCCGGAGGATATTTTCCCAGGGAAATTTATAACTCTTGTCACATACTGTACACTGTAAAATAAGGCACACAGAGAGCGCCTCAAGTGAAGTGGCTTTTCAATCGTTCCTTATTCCTTTGTAAGCATTGTGATTTGACAGAGTTTTTTGAGTGATGGCTCTGATGGATATTTTTCTTTGGAACATTGCATCAGTCTTGTGCCAATAGCATAGCCCTTTAAAACGGTTCAGAAAATACAACCAATCAGTTATATGGTGGTTTGAAGAAAGTCTTCATTTGAGGTCAGGGGACTTGTTATCAGAATCACATTAATTATTATGTTTAAAAAGTAATTAGAAACTAATTATCTTGAACTTCTCCAACACAGTCCATGAATGCGTCTGTGTGGGGGATGGAGATGAAACAGCAGTGGTCCGGGACATTTATACGACTAGTAGTAGTAGTCAGCCCTCCATCAAACAATATGGATGAATTGTTTATTTCTAGTTGTTCCATCCTTGTAACCCAGGAGTCTCCGACCTGTTCTCCACAGAGAGCTACTTTTCCAGTTCCTTCTTTAAGTGGTGAATAATAAATGTAGTCAATGCTTTGTAAAAGTGACATGCCTTTGATTGTTTAATGGGTGTGTTATTGTAACTAATCTATTATTAATGTATTAGAGTACAATGTTCAATATTCACAAGTTAATTGAAAGGTATTGGAAAATTAACATTTTCAATATTGGGACATTTAAATTAATGGGAAGATACTCGGGGTCTAACTCAGTCCTGACCACTAAAAAGAGAAAAGTATCACTCAATATAGTTAATACTACATCACATTATGGCCATTCTAAATCATACTATTATTATTTGATTTATGCCGCACCAAGACACATCTAGTTCCTTATGCTCCCGAGCTTTAGGCTGGAGACCCCTGATATAACCTGAACAACACCCATGGACTGAGGTCTGAATCCTTTCTCCTTTACATAAGACAACATAGGTTTAAATGACAATTTTTATTTTAGTTATATTGAGATGTAAATTATTATATGTGACAAAAATCTAAACGTTTTTCAGCGTACACACCTTAGTATCAGGTAGGGTAAATAAATCCCTCATTTTCTGCAGTACATTACATTACATGATACCACACTACTTTTTAAACACACTGTTGAAATAATGTGTGGAAACAACATAGTGCGAGAGTTATTGCAGTAACTGTTGTTGATTTTTTTTAAATTTGTTTTCCAAGTAAACCTCATTTTTAGTCAGCAGAAGCCCTGGGGGGCAGCTTGAGGGGCTGCACACAGCCAAATGTTTCTACCTGGAGGCTGCAAAGTCCACTCACAGGCCATTAGTTTGCAGCTGAAACAAGCCCACTGCTTCACTCTCTCTGCTCCTTCCAGTAAACAACATTACTCAAGTGGCAGAAGTTTGGAATTCAGAGAGGAAATGGTGTGATGAGATAGTGTGTGTAGGTGTTGTATGTATACACAGTAACACTGATGTTCATGTGGCATTTCAGCAGCTTGTCTCTTCCAGGATACGTTCACACTTTGTCCAATGAAAATTATTTCAGGTTCCATCCATCAATCTAATTGTCTTCTGCTTTATCCATTGCCGGGTCGACAGTAGTCTAATCAGAGCTCTCTATCTACATGCATTTCCAGTTCGTGAATCCCAAGGCTTACTCAGGCCCGCTGAGAAACATAGTCCCTCCAGCGTGTTCTGGGTCTTCCCTTGGTCTCCTCCCCGGGGAGGCGTCCCAGGAGGCATCTGAAACAGATGCAGAGCCACCTCAACTGTCTCTTTTCAAGGAGGAGAAGCAGCGGCTCTACTCCAAGCTTCACCTGTGTGACTGAACCCCTCACCCTATCTTTAAGGGAGTGCCCAGCCAAACTCATTTTGACTGCTTGTATCCACAATCTCGCTCTTTCGGTCATCCAAAGCTGAGATGGGAAAGTAGATTGACCAGTTAATCGAGAGCTTTGTCTTTTAGGTCTCTCTTCAGTTCAATAGTCTGATACAGCTCTGTCTGCAGGCGCTGCTCCCTCTTCAACACAACAGTCCGATTTAGCAACTGCATCATTTTCCCGATCTGTCTCACACTCGATCTTTCACTAACTTTGAACAAGACCCTGAGATACTTGAACTCCTCTACTTGAGGAAGGACCTCTCCTCCCAATTCTGGTTCAAATGGGGCTTACTATGTTTCATTTGTGGAGTTGTGAAAGCACCAAACAAATGTATACTGGCCCAGAAGTCAACTTGATCTGAGGACTATTGTCCAATAAGTGTGAATGCAGCCTTAGATATATTTTGTTTTCTGTTTAATTCATCGATTTTTCATCGATAAGTCAAGTAGGGGAGCCGTGTTGCATGCATCACATTTCCTTTGCAGGCATATAATCACAGTTAAGAATGTATTCAGAAACTATGTACAACAATAATAATAATACAATTTATAAAATTGCAACACTGTGGATACTGGCATAATACAGCCATTGTCCAATGTTTTTGTAAGACACATTCTCATTATTAAAGACCTCAACATTAAAGGTGCGCCATGTAACTTTTAGGTGAGGGTTTTACCACTTGCTTGAGTTAATCGACATTGCAAGAATGTTTTGGGCAATAAAAACATGTAATAGAATACTGTACAGATTTAATATCATACTAAGGTACATTTTACACAAAGCAATTGCATCTCGTTGATCAGCAGGTGGTGGACCCTGTGATAAAAGTTATTTAGTGTACATTTAACCTCCAGAGCTTCATTAGTAATGTTGCAATGAACACTGACATTGTATCTATTAGATTTGCAATAAACTTTCAATAGAAAAATGTAGAGCGCACACACACACACACACAATAAATAGCCTTTTGTGTTTTGTATGTGTGCGGTATACACAGATGGCTCATTCGGCGACAGGAGAACAATAATACACTTACTCTGTATTCTCAATGAAAATATGTTTGTTACAGACATTTCTTGTTTTACATTCAGTGACTTTGAGAACATGAGCCTGCTAACCATTCACACTGACCCCAGTCTCTGCAGCACACTGCCATTAGCATCGGTCCCACTGGTACAATGGTCCACAGAGCAATTCTGGTGCTGGGTTCCTTGAGATGAGGTAATTTCCAGAATGCATGCATCAGCCCAGCCCTCAGTCAGATCTGATCTTGAGTGAGCACTTCAACAGTGTAGGATTTTAATGAATGCCTTTCTGAACTCCACATTAAAAGTAGTGTAGATGATGGGGTTGACAGCACTATTCACATATCCCAGCCAGGTGAAGGCATTGTACATCTCTGCAGGGACCTTGCATTTGGTGCAGTGGGTATTCAGGATATGTGTGATGAAGAAGGGCAGCCAGCAGATGATGAAGACACCTGTGGACATGCAAAACAATGCATTATTGTTTTCACTAATAAATGGTGTAGAAATGTGAATCACACAGGCTCAAAACTTAACATCTCCAGTGTAATCCCCCATTATTTAAAACAGCCAGTAAAGTGTTGCTACCAAGAATGAAATGTGTTGTACTCATAAATGGACCAATTGAAATATCAAGTACTTAGGACAAACAGCAGGGGAAAAATGTCGCCAACAAAATGAACATTAACCTGTCAAACTATGTACATGTAAGAAAGGGACTACTAGACCTTGAAGGCTATGCTATACCTCAATGCAATGATTGTCTCATATGATACTGCAATGCAAGCTAAGCAGCTCAATGTAAGACTGTGCTCAAAACAACCCATAAAGAAGCTCTCAGAATGCAAAGCATAAACAGTAGGATATGATCTTTACAATCTATGCTATATTAAGACCTTTGCATCCAGTATAATCTACAGCGCTCAGCCTTTCTATTTTAATTACAATGATTTATATTGAAGCATTTACAGCTATAGCAAAGAAACGTAGCAGCTAATTATATTGAATCATTTGTGTGCTCCCTGTGTGCTGTTACTACTGTCCTGTATGTGCGCTGCAACATTGAAATTTCCCCACTGTGGGATGAATACAGGTTCCTTTGTCTTATCTAAAAGCAGTGTAATTTTGTTGTTGTTGTAGGAGCACTAATAACATCAATATTTATTTTTTTATTTTTTAGCAGTTATTTAATTCTAGATCTCTACCAAATGGCTGAGGTGCAGGTTGACGGTAAAAAAATCTAATACATAGTTACACATATGTTAGAGCAAATAAAATATTATTTTACACCTACTAATACACAATACAAGGCCAGAAATTCACTCATGGGAAGTATTTTTTGATTGAAAACACATTTTAACATAAAAATATCAAATTTTAAATGGATTACATCTAAACGTTTAAGGCTTGTATGCATTCATATTCCAGCAATTGCATAAACAGCACCCAGGGGCTGCATGCCTAACATCTCAGATGAATTATTGGGTCAATGTAAAGGTAAAAAATAAATAAATAAAAATGACCCAAATGACAATCTCAGGACCCTTAGAATCGGTCACTTTATTTTTGATGGTATGCAGAAAATCCTTCTCTGTGATCACAAACAGGAAAACATTGCACTTTCTACATCTCCATCTTGACAGAGCCTTCAGGCAGAGGCTGCAGAGTTTTTCAACCAGTACAACTCCAAATGCAGTTGAGCCCAACTTTGCCAATGCTGTCTATACCCATCAATAAATAAATGCAAAATAAATATCAACATTTTAGGTGAATAACACTATAATTCAATGTATTAACAATTCATGTCTTACAAATATTTTTGTGGTTATTTGTATGTATTTATCATAAATTCACCAGATTGTTACCATGTGGTTGAGATGCTAAATTTCACCATGAAGTTCCAACTGAACCAAATGGTCACACATGTCTTCAATAAATTATTGGCCTGTCACAACACCTTTTTTGTTGCATGAAGTTACATATTATTGTTTGTCTTTTAAATTTGCTCAAAGAAGGAAGAAGGAAGAATAAAAAGTTCTTCTGTCAAACCAAACAGTGACCTTGGGCGGATTTTTTGAGCATAATATATTTAAACCAAGTGGTGAAGGATTTCAGTTCCAACCATGTTCCAAGTAGATATAGTGACTCAAAATGAGGTCTACCAAATGGTTGAGGAAACCAGTTAAGGGTGTTAAAGAACCACCATGAAAACATACAAAGTACCTGGCAGTCCCCTATTCGGCCTCTGTCCTTATTCAAGTTTGTAGTTTGTGAATAAAGGCCATAATGTACGCCATACTCAATGCAATAAAGACAGACATTTCATAATCTTTACAAACTTTTTGGCATTTAAGTTTTCAGCATTTTGCACAGGCAAAGAATCTAAAATCTACTTTTAATCATCAACAGGAAACAATTCATGCCTGTTTAACTTCTGAATGACTTTACTTGGATTCAAATAATCTCGAAACGCAACTGCTATCTTAAACCCGTCACCAGCATGGGCAAGTGTGGGGCTACTCACATGTCCCTCTGTGCAACCGGAGTGAGCGCCGCCGTAAACAATCAGTGCTGATTGGTCAGAACACTTACAGGCAATTCTGATCCTGTGGAACATCTGCAAACCAACTGCACAAGACTGAGTGGACCAGAGCAGGCCAAAGGTCACCTTTACTTTGGGACGTCCACATGATACTGGGTCATGTGATTATGTGACATTTGTAACATGTACGTCACGTGATTAGAGAAAAAACAAATAATATGAACTAAGAAGAAACTGATTTGGCTCGAAGGAAAGTGAGACAATGCTTAATGAAAGACAGATACAATGAGTACAATTATGGGTTTTTTGTATTGTGAGGAATGATATGTACATGTGAAACAATATACAGAAATATATACAATATGTACAAAGTGCGCTGTTGGTAGTTTAATCCGAGTATAATCCACAACGCGATGGGTTATTGTCCGTGTGTGAAAGCAGCAAAAGTTCGTTTGAATATATCCAGATTTAGTCCAGAGTATGAATATTGTCCCCAAAAACGTTGGAAGTGAGTGGGTGAGTTATGTGGCTGCAGAGCCTCCTACCACATTTGCAGAATCAAAAGAAAAGATGTGATACTCTCCTGAAGCCCAGAAAGTATTGAGGACCTGGCCAGTTCCTTGCAAAATACAGAACACTCAAACACACAATGTGCTCAGTAACGACGGAGGCATCTGCAGCCGAACTCAGTCTGGCATCCCACCCAGTTACCGGTGGAGCCGCAGTAGCTCTGATTATGACTACTGGAAGTTGCGTTTGAGACTGCCCCGCGGAGTATCGCGAGACTAGCGTTACTATGGTAACGAGGAGCAGTAGGAATTAAAATATGAAAATAATACAGTGGAAGGGACGCCAGAATTTTGATATGGGTTACACATTGCTCGCTGTCCAAAACACACAAGCACAGTGCTAAGAAGTCTTTGTGCAAAACTGCATGGTATGAGGTGAACAGTTTTGATGTCCTGGACCATGTAGCATCATATCTGGATTGGGTATTGATCGCTTAATCCAGTCTCCAGCATAGAGGTAGGCCACACACGGTACTGCAGCCTGAGCTACACACATTTTAGATTTGTTTTTTTATTGAAAAGAAATAACAGATAAACAATGAACCTACAAGGTCTTAATCTTACCCCATAGTAGAAATGTGGGTATGAAAAAAAAACTGAGTGCAAATGTTTGTGGTGTCTGTGAAATGGATCATGAAATGTCACCAGTCAAACACAGCAGCTCATGGAGGAGACATGTAACAGAGAGAGTTCATTCAGGAAGCAATATTAATGAAATCATCCAAATGAGAAACACAAAGCTTCACTTTCTCTTAAGTAAATCAGTCAGGCATGTCCAAACCAAGGCCTCTGCCTTCCTAATACAAAGTATCCCTTAAGGCACTTTTACAGAGTTATGCAGCCAACTTCAGCTCCACCAATATAGTCATGCTCGTTGTAAAGCGCTGATCCTTTGGAATTCAGCCATTCACTTTATTTATATATATTGTCATTTATTTTTAATTGTGTCCCAAAATGGCACCAGTGACGATGCAGAGATTATCATTATGAGCATATCATACCCTACTTTAAAGCCCACAGCCTGAAAAGCAGTTTTAGAATATTGCCGGCCCCTGGACAAGTCAGGTGAACTAAAGTGGATCCCTGATCTAAGTAATAGTGGCTAATTATAGGCCTATTGAGCCTGGTTGAAATGCCACATCGACCAGAGGCAATGTGGATTTTAAGCGTGCTTATTTGGTTTGAGGCACAGCATTGCTTACCACTTCTACACTTATCTCTGTACACAAACAAAACTAGTTTAAACAAAGGGAAAATCATAATAATGACTTTTGTTTTGACAGCATTATATGATGTCTCCTGTCCTATAATCAGCCGCCTATAGGAAGTGCATAATGCTGCAGCTTGACTTTGTTCAGAAAAAAACAGGTAAAGGACTATGGCGTCAAAATAGGGTCTGCTTAAACGTAACCGTAAAGCAGGAATTGTAAACGTAGGTTGTAAGTATTGTAAACATAAAAAAAATATTGTAAACGAAAAAACTGTAGCGTAACCGTAAAGCAGGAATTGTAATCGTAGGTTGTAGTATTGTAAACATTAAACATATATTGTAAATGAAAAAAATTAAAACTTACATTTACGGTTCTGATTTTTCATGTTCCGCTTCAAAAGTTACGTTTACGATTCACAAGTTACGTTTACGATTCACAAGTTACGCTTACGGGTCAAAACTTACGGTTACGATACATTTTTCATCTGACCCCTTTTTGGAGGGGCGGGCTCAGCGCGCCCATTGGCTGGAGACACCGGATGTTACGTCATCACAAAACCAAAACACACACCATTCAAAATTCAAGTCTCGTTCGAACTCTACATCGTATGATTGATCACATTTTTTCAACTGGGCTGGCTATTATAGGCTTTCACGTGGTATGTCCACTCTTGTGGACACCCTAATTACACCAGGTCATGTTTAGATCGTGTGAAATATGCTCTCGTAATAACGTCATATGCCTATGTTGCCCCCAGGCTAGCCAGCTAAGCTACATCTCGGGACCTTCACCACCACTGTACGTTGTTCACACTGAATGCTTTGTCATGTCAGGATTATCTACTGCTATCAAAGGTGAATAAAACTATGTCTTTGATTTTTTGTTTGCTTATTATTTACATAATTATAGCGGCTTACCTAATGAGCCCATGCTAGCTAGCAATGAATCTGTCAGTCCATAACCTGTACATAAAGTTTTGAAACAAATGAGGTAACTAGCTGAATGATTAAACAAATCTGTGAAACTTGCTAAATAGTACGTTCCATTGGCTTCATGATATCTTATCAAAATTAACTTAAAGTTAAGTAGCTCAAATCGGGGCTAACCTGTTAAGGCCATTAATTTTACGATATTTGGCTACTGTACCTGTACTGTGTTTGCTAATTTAGGATGGTTAAGATTCCTAAAATCACACAGAAACTCTGTTTAGTTCTGATCTTGCAGGTTATCTCTGCGATGGGCACCAGCACCACACATTGCAGACCAGCAAGATGTAAAACTGTGGTTTTATAATAATCTATATAAATGTGATGTATTTTCATGTCTTAGGGACCATGTCTGCAAATTAAGTGCTAGCTATACAGCCTATGAACATGGTATCGGCCACCTGTATCAATACTTTTAGTTCTGTGCCTATCAAATAAACATATAATAGCACTTATTCTCACAGAACAGTGGGTTGTAGATAGGAGTAAATGGCTGTCTGTTACCTGGCCTAATATCTATAACTTCCTCATCCAGACATACAGTGTTTATACCTGACTGAACTCCTCCAGATCTCCACACCTGCCCCTCTGCTCCTCCTATCCTCTCCAGCTCTTGGTCCCTCCTGCCCCTCTGGCTCCTCCTATCCTCTCCAGCTCTTGGTCCCTCCTGCCCCTCTGCTCCTCCTATCCTCTCCAGCTCTTGGTCCCTCCTGCCCGCCTTTTCACCATGTGGAAGAGAGCTTCTCCAAATCCACCCTCAAAACTCATCTGTTCTGACAAGCCCACTCACTAACATCATAACCACACTCTCCTCTCTCCATGATGCTTTTAACTGTTTTTAAAATACACTTTTTTTACTTGGTTGTAAGGCAAAAACAAATTATTAAAAACAAAAAAAACATAGCATATAGATCTATAATACATACAATTATGTGGACATGTGAAATACTTCCACTCTGGGACTGAGTTCTTTGTTTTGAGGCTGATGTGCTCCCAGTCAGAGAGTGGGCATTAAGTCAGTACGTCTACAAAGACTTGGTGCACATCCTTACTCTGAACTGTTCCTGTATGGCAGGGTATGGACATGTAACTTGCTTTTAATGTTCAATTACAGTCTTAACCTGGTGCACACCCATTAACCCCTTTATTAGTGTAATCTGCGTTATGTTTTATGTTCTGCGCTGTCTGAAGAAGGAGCAGGACACAAGGAGGACCACTGAATGACATTTACTAGTAGCTCTGCACAAAATAAAACACATCCACTTCACGTCTATCCATGTATTCAGCTCAGCAGTCCCCTCCTCAGATGCAAGGCACAGTTCTCCTGATAAAGGGAAAAAGCCACATTAATAAGTAGTTACTACATTTTGAGTGGTATACAGGTTGAAAACTTTTGTTCTCCAGTTGTCTTTGTATTAATGGTAAAAAGACAAGTTTGTGATTTTAGCTCTAAAATATTGGTGTGCTCTTCATCCACTCACAGTATCAGTATTGTTGTGACTAGAAGGCTACACAGGCTCACTTATGAACAACTGTTTAGTTAGTTATTTGAAGACTGTTTCTCCTCAGACTAAGGCCCCGTCCCAATACTCGCACTTCCACCCTCGCGCCCCTCATTTGCGCGTTCCCGATAAAGTGTGCGAGTGCGTAGGGTGTCCCAATTCTCCAGGGAGGTCTTTGGCCCCGCCCCCTTTGCGCCCCTGATCCACACTTCGCCGTAGCCTGCATCTATGCACACTCTGGCGAAGGATATTGCCCATAATTCTTTGCGACGGGACACCAAAACGACGGGAAAATGCAATTAAATATACATTTTGAAATATATATGCAGTATGTGTGTAAATAAGTTTTGCTATGTTACTTGGAAAGAAGCATAAACGTCTGATGAAGAATTACGGACATTGTGTTTTAACAATTTAATAACTTTTTAAAGCAAGCGTTTCTATAACATTCAATTTAAACTTTACACTTAGTACAATAATCTTAGAATGTATAAAAACTGACCAGATAGTTAGTTCCCCACATTTAACTTAAAATAACACAGCTATCTCTAATTAAAAACAACTAATATAAATGTATTATAACGTGTGTGAAGCAATTCATATTGTTTCCCAAAGGGTCAGACAAAATTACCTTTAATTTTTATAAAGTTTAGGTCTGAAAATGACCATCTCTTGACGAGTCGATGACGTAAACTGCACTCAGTGTGCACTGTCCCCATTCCGCCTTTTGTGCACGCTTGCAACCTGCGCACTCAAACCCTTGCGCGCACTTCAAACAAATGCACACTTCATAGGAGGGCGTAGGGTGCAGTGTGGGTATTGGGACTGGGCCTAAAACGAAGGAGCCTCCCTAGCTACTTATTTAGCAAAACAGCTAATGTTAGCATTTTAGCAACGTCAGCTGTTTGTTATAGCGGCGCTAAAAGTGAGCTGGCTTTAACTTGACTGATCATGATTAAATCAGGTAGCAGCGGGTTCTCTTCTTATAGCGACATGATGTAACCAAGTGATCACTTATGGGTTGGAGTTGGACTTTTTCATTATTAGCTTCTGTAGGACACAGACACTTACCAGCTATGAAGTTTGCTCTTAGCATGTATGTACGCAGGTCTCCGTAGATGGCCTGAAGCCTGTTCTTCGTCTTCTGTAGTAACCAGACTGTAAAGATTGTAGCAACGTGCGTGTGTTTTGCTTTTGTGACATCCGGTGTCTCCAGCCAATGGGCGCTGAGCCCGCCCCTCCAAAAAGGGGTCAGATAAAAAATGTATCGTAACCGTAAGTTTTGACCCGTAAGCGTAGCTTGTGAATCGTAAACGTAACTTGTGAATCGTAAACGTAACTTGTGAATCGTAAACGTAACTTTTGAAGCGAAACATGAAAAATCAGAACCGTAAATGTAAGTTTTAATTTTTTTCATTTACAATATATTTTTAATGTTTACAATACTTACAACCTACGATTACAATTCCTGCTTTACGGTTACGCTACAGTTTTTTCGTTTACAATATTTTTTTATGTTTACAATACTTACAACCTACGTTTACAATTCCTGCTTTACGGTTACGTTTAAGCAGACCCTATTTTGACGCCATAAAGGACCATAATTTTTATTTTTAATGCAAACACAAGGTGGACACAACATGATATGATAACCCTCTCTGATCAGATCCACAAGAGAGACTTACCTAAAACAATGGCTAACATCTGAGTGGCCTTCTTCTCCTTCTGCTGGGATATCTTCCTCTTGCTCAGAGTCGTGATAGAGGTCTGTGTTTTGCCATTGGGTAAGGCCTGGGTCTGAACGGCTTTGGTCACCACAGTGGCATTGGCCAGCAGCTCTTTGGGGCGCTCTCCATTCTTCTCAGCTCTCCCGTCCTCTGGGGGCGTAGCTGGGCATGAGGTGGGGCTAGCGTTGGCTTTATTCGGCATTAGCATCTGGTTGCTTGTAGCTGGAGTATCTCCCAGAGTGCACTGGGGCTGCTGCCTGAGTTTCTGACTGTCCCCACTGTTGTTGAGTTCATCCAACTCCAGATCTTCCCCCTCATTCCCATCTTTGATAAATATCTAAATCAGGCAACAACAAAATACATTTTCTAGGTGAGAAAACAAATTTATCATGATGTACCTGTGTAACTTTAATGTGAAACGAAGGTTACAAACACATATCTCGAGGAGCCATCTGGACTTTAAGATAATGAGGTCAGCGGGGTTTAATTAGGTTAGCAGGGATAGCTAATACAGTCCAGATGCCTTTTTATATTTGTTTTTCTATAATTCAATCCTGGGTGAATTCAGGATGACGTTTCTGTGTCTAAGCATTATCCTGAATGAAGCCTGCTGAGTAAGTATCCTTTGCACTTTTCATATTCTGTTGGCAGACAAATGAGTGAAAGCAAACTGATACATGATCCCTTTCCCAGATTTTGGAATTATTTAATTATCTGTTCTGTGATGAACACACAGCACAGACAGGTCAGGAATGAGGTTGGTAAAAGGTTTAAAGCATGTACAAGTAAGCATGCAACTGCAAAACATATTTATCATGAACACATACTATAGAAAAAATCCTGGTATAGCACATCTACTTACAGCTGCAGTTTAGCGTCTGGATTATGTAGAGGACAATCTAAGGCTGAGGTGTGCGTTTACCTTCCATCTGGAAAATCCAGGTCATCCCAAAAACCCAGGACAGCTACTGTAGGAGCTTATCACCACCACCACATATGGAGTGAATTAATAATGCCATGTGAGGCATGTATGAGTGCCCAAAAGAGCACTATAGCAATGCATTCTTAATGTTACGGAGCCTGAGCTGTTGGTCATACATGTTTGTCTGGATATAAAAAGCTGGTAGAGATTCTGTAGTTGGAACACAGCAGATTCCACTGTGTTGACTCAATGGATGGGGTGAATACTTTTGCAAGGTACTACAAAATAGTTTGCGATAAAAGTCAAGAAGCTACACGCACCACTTTCTTCTTGTTGACAGGAAAACTCCCATTAGATTTAACAATCATGGTGCACAGCCTCACGTCCTCTGGATGAGTGCACTTCTCCTGAAACAAAAAGCCCTGTCAGGTCAGAAGATACAGGGTCAAATCCGTCGACACGGGTTTAAGCACAGGTTTAAGCACAGGTTTAAGCACAGGTTTAAGCACAGGTTTAAGCACAGGTTTAAGCACAGGTTTAAGCACAGGTTTAAGCACAGGTTTAAGCACAGGTTTAAGCACAGGTTTAAGCACAGGTTTAAGCACAGGTTTAAGCACAGGTTTCACTGCGTCAGTCAGAGGCATCTGTTCTCCAGGAAGGATTTCCAGCTTCATGATACTTAACCATTAAATGATCAAACTATGACAGTTTTAAACCTATTTAAACAACCTCTACACAAAAAGATAGGTCTGCATTGTTTCGTTGACATAATTGAACTAATGGAATTAATATATTATTGAAGGGTTTACAATACAGTGTTTGAGTATTCCGAAGAGCTCACTAAAGTGATCTGGATCAAAGGCATAACTTGGCTTCTTTGAGGCCCCTGGGTTTCACTATGACAGAACAATCAATACTCAGGAAAGCAAAAGGTCATTTGGACCCATCATAATTAGTGTTGCTTAACATTTTTTGACACTCAGACCTGTTCAGAAATGTTCATGAAATATTTTCGTTACACAAGGAAGGTTTGTGTGGATCAGGGTGGAACTGGAGATGGACCAAGTTTGTGTGTAGATGTTATCCATTGTCTGTGTCTCTTAAAGAAAATCAATGTTTTTCTTGTCTGGCTTTACCATTCTACAGTGCGCCGTTACAGCACCATCTATAAAACCATTGCAAATAATTGGCTTGAGAAAGTTATTGATTGCGGTTTCATAAAAAGAACAAATTAACTGAAAGGGCATTCTTGAGCTGCTGCTTCTGAAATAATGACTGAATAAACTTATTCATTAACAAGTGTGGAGCAGAACTTATATGCACTGTCATGTGCTTTTGCATTCTTTAATAATTCAGAAATGGAATGTAAATGTTGCTGTACTTGAATCCCAGAATCAAACTAAACAGATGAATGCAGTCACTTCATAAATGCAAATGTTGGATATGTTTTAAAACCACTTGAAGAAGCACCTTTAGGTTTTAAGGCTGTAAATCCCCTTCATACATCTTTCTACCACCTGAACTCATGACTGCTGATGTGCGATCGCAGAGATATCTAACCTGATGGTCGTAGTACTGAGCGCTGCCGTGCATACACTGTAAAATACAGCTGGAGAGGACACCGCAGCAGGACTAAGGGCTACAGAAAGACCGCAATAATCCGCTAAAGAAGTCATTGAGGTGCACACAAGCCACCTCTGACTTTCATAAAGGTGTCATGTTAAGCCAGCAGTAATATGAAGTTGTGGGAGTATACACCAGGCACATGAGAAGCAACATTTTTAAAGTGTTTTTTTCCCCAACATTGACAGTTGCCCACAGACATGAGCTTCTCTTATATTATTGTGAGGTTACGTGTAGTGAGTTTACCTTTATGGAGGTGGGCAGATCAGGCTCAGGGCGCTGACACAGTTTGCGCTTTGGTTTGGTGTTCACACGTTTTCTTCGCTTCCGTAAAACCACGTAAATTTGCACATAAACCAGCAACGTGATGATAAAGGGGACGTAAAAAGACACGATGGAGGAGTACACCACGAACGTCGGGTTGGCGATCACACATTGAGTGTCATCACGTGTGGCTGTGAAAGAAACAGATCTGTGGTCATACAAGGTTTTATGCCCAAATTTCACATCACAGAAATTGAATGATGTAATAAAATCCACTGAACTCTCTAAACAGTTGGGTTCGTACCCTAGATTTCACATGTTCTGTTGGATCTTTCAGACAGAACTATCATTCAGCTCATCCAATCAGCTTTCAGCCTGATTGGATGCCCTTCCCTGTGGCAGGGAAGGGCATGGCATGTGACCTGGCAAGACGTTCTGACGAAGACGAACCTCAAAACATAAGAAGGTAATAACATCTTTATCCTATTGTCTGATAGAGAGCAGGAAAACGTTATTCCTTTTTTTATCCTATTTGATGATTTATTGGGAAAACCTTTTTCTAATAATGTTTTGAATGGTTTGAATCTATACATGCACATTGTTCTTATGAACAATGGGCAAGAATCATGAACAGATTTAGGCAGAATTAACACTTAGTTCACTTGGGACTGAAGTGTGAACACTTGGAAAACAAGTGATTGTGAACAGAGAATGTGTTCTCTGGGACTGTTGGGGCATTGGCTCTTGGTTAGAGGAGAATAAAAAGAGAGAACATAGAGACAGTTCAATTTGAACCATTATTATTTGCTGCGTATATTTCAATAGTTCAGTGGTAGAGCTGACACAAATACATAACATTCAGAACATGCAAAAAATATCACCTAAAGGTTAAGGCATTCATGTGTCAGATCCCAGTGGGTGTTTGATCAAACTGTTCAAATTTGGTCCCAGTTCCTGAACTCTGGTTGCAAATAATACATTGTTGTGTAAAAGAGAGTAGAGTTGTGTAAAATGTAAAAACAAGAGCAGCATTGTATTTTCATAAGGCTGTTTCAAACATACATTTAGGAAAAGTAAAAGTTCTCAGGCTTTTGTTCTTACCTGTGTTGTTTAGGCCAAACAACAGGGGACACGATATGGCAAAAGAGAGCACCCACACCACCGAGATCATGACCGTCACCCGCCTCCGCGAGCTGTAGCGAGTGTTGTACAGCATCGGCATGGCAACTGCAGTGTACCTGCGATCCCGACAAGATAAGGTTAGAGAGGTACTTGTAATGTCCATGAGGCACATGCTGTTTGTAAACCACAGATCAAAGCATCTGCCACATTAAAAACAGTCTAAAGTGGTTGAAAATGAACAAAGATGGCCCTTTTAGTCCAGCCTCAGTGACAGCCAAGTACAACCCATTCACTAAAAGGGGTTGAATACAGGTGAAAAAGAATTTCAAGTGCTACTTACAGTGTAGTTAATTGAAAGCAGAAATGAGTTGCATAATTATGAAAATGATTTGCATTTTTAATGTGGTATTTTTTCTATATCAGTAAATTATACAAATCAGTGAGTCCTGAATGTACAAGATTTACTTTTTGCAATTTGAAAAGGTAGTGGATGATTTTCTTGTCCTGTTGCTTCATGGAAAATTGTATATAGTTTGGCGCCTTGGACATAAGCAAAAGGGCGCTAGAATAGAGCAGTCCTCAAGCCTGAATCCTAATGTTGATGAGCCAATGACAAGAAGAGAGATTGGTTGGTTTCATGCTTTGGTTGAACTGATTGATTAGAATTGACTAATCCTAAGCAGGAGGCAACGGCCAAATTACTTTCTTCTGTTTTATTGGTTTAGCAACGTACACTGCGCATGTACTTCCTAAACGCAAGAAACGTGCAACAAACATAAACACACGGGTTTAGGACAACAAAGCACATTAAATTAAAGAGACAATTAATCCGCATAGCACAAAATAAAAAAGACACTTAAAGACATTTTGATATAAGTTTTGTTGACTGCACTGATCCACATGTTAATGGTATTCTCCTGGACATGGACGTGAGAAACAGGAGGAGGCTTATGTTTTACACTTCAAAAGAAGAACGTTCACAGGGGGTAAATAAATGCTATGTAAAAAGTGTTGATGTATTTGTTTATCATTCAAGCTTTTTGAGGAACAAAGAGCCTGCCAGTCAAAGTCCACAAAGGTATACTTGGAATGCCTGTCCTCCATTCACCTGCAAGAACAATTGTACATGTCTGTTCCAAAAATGTGAATACATTTTAGAGTATTTTAATCCAATCTACGACCTTTAACAATGAAGAAGGGCATAAAGGAGGCCGCCAAGGTACGGTATGCTGTGGCAAAACTCATGCCTCATTAATCATGTTGTAGCTGCTTTAGAGCCGCCTCTGTCTGTGTTCCAGCTCATGTGTTATTATTGCAGCCCTGTTAACAGTAGCTTTAGCTATGTTAGCTGCTACACCGTGTCTGGATTTGGCTGCGTACCGGCATAGACTGAGGATTTTTATACAGTTTATGGGTTCACTGCCCCTGGATCGGGCTGATCCTCCCATCAAATCTGATGTTTCAAGATCCAGCTTCTTCTTTCCCTGCAGTGCTCTGTCTGTTTGAGGGTTTGGTGTACATGCCAAAAACAGTTACTTTTGTTCAGATATCAGAATAAAATGTAAACATGCGTATTATATACTTAACCTTCCACTCAACAAATCTCATACATATTCAGAAGGAATGGTAATAGATGTTGTTCGTTTAGGATTGAATATTGTTCAGTTGTGTGTCCACAAACTAATTCGTTTTCCTTTCCTGACCAGCCAGACCCTTCTACATTCTCAACAGCATCATGGGTCATAGAAGTGACAAAAGTAAAACCCGCTTGGCGCAAATATTCAAGATGCAGATTATGAGCAAACCAACCAGAAAAAGTAGCCAATTGCCTATGCGCAGACTGTTTGTTGTTGACAGCTGTCCAATCAAATGCGTTTAAACAGAGCTCATGAAATGAGCTGCTTGAGCCACATCCAGACCCTCGCTATTTTGAAATGATTATAATAATTGCCTAGTTCTGCCTAGTTGGGCTATTGTCCCTGGCCTTGAAATCTATTTCTAAACAATTCTTATCCACTTGTAAAACTGCCCTGAAATGCCACTTCAGAACATGGAACATATCAAGGTGTCCCCACTTCAGGACACTCACATGTTCAGTGAATATGCTGAAGGTGAGTAAAAAGGCAAAGACAAAGATTTTCATTTCATTGTTCCACCCACAACTAAGCTTAGTGTACAACAAGATCACAGATGCATAAAATGACTTTTCCAGAGGTCAGACACAGAGCATCTGTTTAAGACACCTCTCTTGGGAAATGTTGCAATCAGGTCCCACCAGAAGGAGACCCCCGGGAAGACCCGAGACGTGTTTAAGGGATGTCTACGTCAGCTGACCTGAAAAAAACAAAAAAATTCTGGAACTCTGGAAGCATGGGCTCAGGGGAAGTGCAATAAAGTCTGCACTTTAGGCTCAGGGGGAATGCAACCAAATATTGCACTTTAAGTTTTCTGAAGTGCAAGATTGTGGAGTTTTGATATCTTGTTATTAACTTTCTCTGGTCCTAGAGGTCTCTGATGAGGTCTTACTTGTGTCTATTTTGGTCTTCTTAGTGTTTATCGTGTACGGTGGCGTAAAGCATGTGTCTCCTATGGGAGACAATAAAGAAGTATCTTATGTTAAGTCTGGGTCTCTCTGGAGAAAATGAAAGAAAATGGAGGGATGTGTACAATACAAAATTGGGAAGCATAATAAATGGGATGAACACCAACTCTGAGCCACTGCCACACATTTGGATGATGTGGTGCTGTAGGTAGAACTAATGCCTTTTTTCTTAAAATCTATTACTTTTGGAAAGTACCTTTCCTTCTAGTAAATCCCTGTACAGATGTTTTTCACATAATGGCATCACTTTGTCATAATAAGGACTGTGTATTGGTAACCTTGAAACATCTGCTTGGCTGTAATTACGGCTAGTGGCTGGAGCCACAGTCGACTTACAGTAATGGGAAGATGTTACACACCGTATACAATGCATGTCTGCACACAACAATTGCTTACAAATACGTGAGCTCTACTGCCTTGTGCTAAAAGGAAGCAGTTTTTTAATTCACAAACATCAGGCTAAAAAGCAGACAGGGTAAACAAACTGAGGAGCAGTGCACTTACCGATCAATGCTGATGGCACAGAGGTTAAGGATGCTGGCCGTGCACATCATGACATCCAGAGTGACAAAGATGTCACAGTGGATCTTACTGAAGCGCCATTCTCCCACCACCTAAAAGACAGAAGAAACACACAAACAAGTCATAGTTTATCGTCAGAGTCAACAGGACAAAGCTATAGACCACTTGCCTGCGGAGAAGAAGCCATTTTCAATGTGTTTTCTCTTAGAAACAAAAAGCCACTATGACAGTCAAGCCCTCTTGTAAATGCTTTCACATTATTTCTGCATCAATAACAGGAAGCAAAAGTGGAGGACAGAAGAATAAAAGCAAAAGTCAGCCATGAGCGCAGCCGGTATGGAAATGAGCTGTCATAAAAAAGACGTAGAGAACAATTGCATTTTATATGGTGATAGATTGAATTGGCTTGACTTGTCTGTTCTGATTCCAGAAGATAATATGTTCCCATATCTGACAGCAATCCTTGAAGAACAACTCAGGCACAGGCGCACATGACTGATGGCATGTTTTCATGTGTTGATTGCTTAATCACGTCTTTGTGTCTCATTATTCCATCTTTATGAATGAAACATTCAATTATGCCAAAAACTATAGGCAACCCAGGGATATAATCATTGTGTGGGATGCATCCTCGATGACAGCCCCAGGTGACTTACAGAGTTGAGATATGATCGAAAACTATTTATATTCATACTGCCTTATTACTTGGTCAAATCCCAGGATAGAATGGGCCTGATGAAAGCAGCAGAGTGAGGCTACTGTGTCAGATGCCACTTTATGTTAGAGGGATAACATGGATCTTCCTCACAGTGCCTTCTAACACCTTTCCTATATTTTGAATGTGATTAATGTCTGTCTCAAGGCCGTGTGTATAATTAAAAGAGGAGTAATGTGACGAGGGCCTGGAGTCTTCTCTGCAGTCTCTTTCATTTCTCACCTCACCTGATCCCAAACGTTTATTTGCCCATTAACTCTTGCCCTTATAATTACCACTTACATAGTTCTTTTATGGCACACACAGCGCTCGTACTTAGGATCTTGATGAATGTGGGATTATATCATTGAACCGTTTATTACAACAACAAAAAATCTTTGTTTCTGTGGATAGCCTTACGTTTTATGCCATTTTGTCAATACAAAATATCATCTTATTAATTCTTGGCTTTCACCCACTTCATCTCTACAGAAATCTGTCGTGTTTTGTTTGCATAATCAACCGATGGCAATCAGATTCTTGCACAGACATAATAGCCCTGATTAAAGACTCTTTTCACGTTCTATTCGTAAGTGCACTTGTGAGCAACAACGTAGTTACATGATGTTGACTCGCCCTTTTGCATTCACGGATGTTGTGGCTGTGTTTTTACTCACAAATGTTTTAACTCACTGGAGGCGTGCATAATGTTCCCAGCGTCCATGTGCTCGAGACTCAACAGTGAGCACAAAACCTGTAATTAATGCTAATTTAGCATTAGAAAATAAAGGCCACAGAGGAGTCACAGCTAGGGGTGGGCGATATGGCCTAAAATTCATATCGCGGTATAATTTGGGTCATAGACGGTAGACGGTATATATCGCGGTATAATTTGGTGTGTGAATTTCAATATAGGTCTAGCAGGTTCTTGCATAAAATAGTCAAGATTGTTAATTATATATATATTAAAATCTAATATATATATTTTTTTTTTATTTTTTATTTTTATATATCGAATAAAGAGACAAATAACATACATTATTTATGTATGTTACAGTAAATACCATTCACTGTAAAAGCAATTTTTAAAAAGAAAAACATATGCATTCATTTAAAATATAAAAAACTCACAAATGATGAAAACAAAGTCTGTAGGAGTTAGACATGGTCATTATTTATAGCAGGGGTCTCCAACCTTTTTCAATCGAAGAGCTACTTTTATACAAACGAAGAGGCCGAGAGCTACTCCTTTTTGCAGTCGTAATAAAAATCTATCTCATGATTACTACTAAACATAAATACTGTATAATCCTATACTAGTAAATATGTAATGGCTCAAAAAATATTAATTCAATATCATTTGTTAAATTCTAAATCCTTTGGCGAGCTACCTGAAAGGGGCTGGCGAGCTACTGGTAGCGCCCGAGCCACAGGTTGGAGATCCCTGATTTATAGTGTCTGAGAGTTTTGTGCAGGTGCATGACTTCAGTAAAAGCTGTTTGTTTACAAAGATGGTCTTGCCATTTGTTGACGCTCCCTAAGCGCTTTTCTCTGCGCTGGATGATTCAATGGATTTTATGTTCATTAAAACAGCGCATTGGATTTGAACAATTGATGTAAATGATCATTTTGGCACAAATAATTTTGTTTAACAAAGTAGCTTTCGTGAGATATTGACCGCGGAGGTCCGAATCTGACGCTAACTTTCCCAAACTTCTGCTGTGATGCTGCGGACACGGCACACGCATGGATCTATTTTGGCTCACGCTGGCGCTTTGAGCCTACGCCCCTTTGACACTGATTGGCCAAAAGGTAGACTCTTAAACTGTGATTACTGTGTGTGTATTTACCTCTGCTGGGGCCGCTGTGACAACAATACATAGACAGAAACACGGTGTTAATGCCGTGCTGTTGTTCGTTGTTTCCAGTGGTGTCCAATAGTGCTAGGCTAATGCTAGGCTAATAGTGCTAGGCTAATGCTGCTGAATGCCGGTTTGTTTTGGTCCTTTCTGCTGGCGTCAGAGCCTGCGCAATTTAATGACATAATGACGTATCGCAATATGCCGGTATAACAAAAATCTCTACCGTGGGCCAAATGTATACCGTCTACCGCTTATACCGTTTATACCGCCCAGCCCTAGTCACAGCTAAAAGCTTCTTTGTGATAAATGTTGAAACAACCAAACCGCTTTTGACACTTTTTGTTGCAGAAATTAAATCCAGTGCATGTAATAATAAGGATTACTAATAATAATAAACACAGCAAATGAATGGAAACTAATGGCCGTAAATAGTGAGAAAGTGTGTGTAATACAACACTGGAACCTAAAGAGAGTGATCCTTTATTTGGTTTAATTAATAATCGTCTCTGAAAATACCATAATTGCTTTAATCCTTAATCCCGGGATTATTGCCAGCAGCCAATGGAAAACCACTGACCATAAACCGTATAACCTCTTAAATATTGTATTGTATATGTGCTCTGGCAAACTCCAATGATGAAATTTATTATAAAATGTAGGTGTCCAGACCTGTAGATATTTCTCAGACAAACTATTGTCTACGATTCACTTCATTCATGTTTCTTCCCAGATAGCAAAAGGACATCGTTTCAACATTGATTTAGGGTCAGATGGTTGACTTTTGGTTGAGGTTGAAAGAAAAATGTTGATTCAATGTTTTATTACAGATAATAAATCAATAATTAAAAAAAGAATGTTGAATCAACACTATTTTATGGACATAAGTTCAACCATTGAAAGTGTAACATTGAATCAACCTTATTTTACAGATGGAAATTTAACCATTGAAAGTGTAACATTGAATCAACCTTATTTTACAGATGGAAATTTAACCATTAAAAGTGTAACATTGAATCAACCTTATTTTACAGATGGAAATTTAACCATTAAAAGTGTAACATTGAATCAACCTTATTTTACAGATGGAAATTTAACCATTGAAAGTGTAACATTGAATCAACCTTATTTTACAGATGGAAATTTAACCATTGAAAGTGTAACATTGAATCAACCTTAAATTACAGATGGAATTTTAACCATTGAAAGTGTAACATTGAATCAACCTTAAATTACAGATGGAATTTTAACCATTGAAAGTGTAACATTGAATCACTGTTAAAAATCGGTTGTATATTTTTTTTGGTTGAAAAATTCCCAATAAATCAATGTTGTTTCGATATAAGGACTACAAGCCCGGGAGATTTTAGTTAAGTGTACAGCGCCCCTGCATCTCGGAGACGGAGAAAGTCAGAACTGGTAAGTGCTCATCGCTTCTAAACTTAAATCATCGTCTTGGGTGTGATCAGTGAGCTAATAAATAGAATGTAAGGTGTTGCTTTAGGCTATGTTATGCTATTTTCTTAGTAGTTTGTCAGAAGCTGATGTGTAACCAACATTATGCCAAGCTAACGTTAAACTTTGCCACCAAAAAAGCTCAGTTTAAGGGGCTGTTTTTAGCTGCTTACAATTCCTCAGCACCCGGTTGATAAGGGAACAAGGATGGTATTAAGGTTGTGTTATGCAAATGGGTTTTATTAGGTAGTTAATAATTCGCTGCTTAGTTTAACAATAACTTTCCCCACACAATAGAGGGGGCTAAAGCACTTCGGTAAAGCCACGATCTATGATTAGCACACTGCGATTTATAAGGTTAAAGTTGAATAGCCTATAATGTAAAATAAAAAAAATGTCATGGTAAGACACAAGGGGTAATGCCAATTAAATATTTATTTGTGAGTAAATACAGCATTTCACATACACTTCATTTGTACTAGTCATTCACTGTCAGACAGAAAAATCAAAAAGCATTAAAACCAAATCTAAAAGCTTTAATAATGATTTCCATTTCTCTTTTACAGAAGTCCCAAGTTGATATCACGAACAACAAAGCAATCAAGTAATGCAATTTTTACAGCACCATCTCAAATGCAATTAGGATGTCTTCATATTGTGTGTTCTAAAATGATCTGTTCTGTTCTTTCTTTCTTTTTTTTAAAGAAATGCACTACTGTCTGGCAATATATCAATTTGTTAGGGTCATTTATTTATTATTGAATGAATTGTGAAATAAAGGCCTTAAATGTAATTAAAACGCATTAAAATGTATTCCAACAGGCATTAATTGTACATATCTTTGAAAATAGTGATGTTATATAACTGTGTTACTGCAAATATTCATTGAAAATACAAAAAAATAAGCTCCAAAACACACTGAACTCCAGTTTTGAATGAAATTGAACACATTTTTTGGCACAAATTGCTCGTTGTGTATAATTCCGTTAAATATTGAAAATGATGCTGTGTACCAGTGTTCCTCGTGACACTAACCAAATCTGCACCACTTCTACAAACGTTTTATTGCTACACTACAATTACC